ACAATTTAATTACATCATGTGTATGTACTTTTATATACCATACCTACCATATAAGAGCTGAGACCCATGAAAAACAACAGAAAGAAACCAGTAGAGACAAAGAATGTAATCAGGGTTTTATAACAGTATTAAGTGTTCTATTAATATTAGATCTATACAATATACTGAGGACAGCAGCACATCACAAAACCCGTTTGCTCATGTAAAGCTTTATCCATCAGATGTGATGTCTATAGTCAAACTCCTGCAAAAGGCTGGTTCACACTTTTATTTGTTAGTTTTCTGCCTGGAGCTCTTGGTGTCTCTTTAAACACAGCCAGGCAGATCAGTTTACTGTAGATTTTAGTGAAAAATGGTCAAACAGAGTATATTTGCTGCATAAACAATGATTATATACATAAGGTCTGTGCGTGTTACATGCAGCGCAGGAACAAAGACAGTTCAGTATGTATGTATCACTGTGGTGGACATACATCATATACAGCCAGAATGAAAAAGCCTTTCTCATATGACAGACCACATCTGGTGTCCAGATGTGGTCTTAATCTAACAGATGCCCTTTACCACACCTTAAACACCTATTTTAGATTCATGACATGAAACTGCACAATTTTAATCAATTACAACATGTATGCCAATAAAAATCATTATTCAGTAATTTTATTGCTCTATTTTTATTCGTCATTACCACATCCTCATATCCTGTGCGCTCACAAGCAGCTGTTGGGCATTTGGCAAATGTTGTCAGTAACTCTGTGCACACCTCAACTCTTTGGTTTATTGCCATACAGATAATACTTTGTGTCTGAACACGTCTAAAGCATCATAAACACATCCTCTATATTATATCCTGAGCTGTGAAGAGCAACATCAAACAATTAGACAAATGGGAACAATGTATATGAATAGAGAAGAGCTGATCTCACCTAACAGAGAGCCTCAGTTACTGAAGTAGTAGGTACTCTTTGAGTGAGTAGCCCATTTAATGCTGTGATTACCTACTTACCCCACAGAATACTTCTACAGTGGTCAGGGGAAAGCTCAATTAGCTGAACTAAAAACAAAATAAATCTTAATCTATTTGCACTGAGGAGGAAAATAAACAGCCAAACAGGTTTACAAATTGCTGTGATGCTGATGTTTACCATATTTACACCAACACCAACCTTACAGAGTCCGTTAACACATTACCACAATTGAGAGTGTATGAAAAGATTAAAGTAATGAACACATGGTTGAAATAATCAGCTACAATAGTGGATACATTTGGTAACTGACATTTAATTGTATGAAAGAATGTTGAAATAATATCAATTTTTATATCATTAATCTTGTTAAATGACAACAATAACATCCAATTTAAAAGCCATTCATGACAACATTTTGGAACATGATGACTGGTGGCACTGGGACACATTGGGAAGCACTGACTTCATAACATGAGTGACCATGTAACAGACATGGCCATTCAAACGCCATACACAGTGGAAAGGGGGGGGTGACATCACCATAAATACACCATCCTCACCAGCCTGCTGAGTGAGGCAAAACAGTTAATGCAACCACTAGACACATACTCACTCATTCATCTGCACCTCTGGACACATACATACTCTTCGGATACCACCCAGACAGGCAGACTGCAGCCATGAACTTTAACACACTAGTCCGGGAGAATATCAGCCGCCCCTCTGGGCACTGGGCCAATACAGTAAGGGGAAATACTGGGTACCTCTCAGGCTATCCCCGCTGTGCTCTATAGCATGATTTACAACTAGGCCACATCAGTTTGCACAGCACAACAGCACAAAGAAGCCATTCTTTCACAGGATTTCTTATTATGTTTTTCATAATCAATATTAATCCCCTGTTACTCAGGCAAGACCAGATTAATTACAAGTGTCTGGTTTAATTTGTGCCAACTTCTTGTGTGGTCTTAAATTACCAGCCTGCTGAACAAGGAACTGAAGATGAGCCTCTGAGCCACCTTGTCAGAGCAAAATGTGAAGAAATTTGTCTTTTTTTAATAGAAAAACTATTAAAAATGCATTTTTACATATTCAAATGTTTTATTGCAGACACGCCAGACAAATGTCTAAAAATCAATTTCCCCAAACAAATTTTTGGTTTGATTTGTTTGCAGTGTGTTGTGTAAGACTAAGACTCATCAAGACACTGACCTTGTTTAAAAATTGTTTATGTGTTCATGTAAATTTCAGAGGTCACAGTAGTTATCTTTCACCATTGAAGATAGATAACTCTCCTTCTTCCACTCAGGAAGTCTCGTGTATTGGCGATTTTCTGACAGACCGGGTTTGATCTATGATCCATGTTGCACTTTCATCCTCACAACTCAGCATAACATCAGCACAGTTTGTTTTGTGTCTCCCCAAACAGACGCCTGATTCATGTGTTCGGGTCAAGTACCGTAAATAGTAAGGTCAGATATGTGGTGATTGCTACAATGCTTAGAAATTGTCTTCCGATATGACCTTTTCCCCTCTGGAGGCTTCATTCAATACAGCTAGGGCTGTTGTCAAGTGTTTTCATGGATTCCTATTTGTCAACTTCAGTGTCCGTTGTTATCATTATGCAACATAATCTGACTTTGTTATGTCACAGACTTACCACTGCTATTTATCTCATTCACCCTTTTCTTGTATAATTCTTATAATTAGTTTTTATTGCACCTGCTTGTGTGCAAAACTGACCTCTCTGCACCCAAATAAACGTCTTGGTATGATTAGAACTTACACAGATGCATGATGAGCATTGTGGATGTTACCCAGACATCAAGAGGTCTGTGTAAAACCAGTCCAGATCCACTAGGTTGTTTATTTTTAAATCATTCCCATTCATTAGACTAAATTCAGTTTATTAAATTTAAGATTTCATCACATTCAGCAGTAGCAGGTCATAATCAGGAGACTGAACCCGCCTCCAGCCCGCAGCCAAATAAATCATCTCTCACTTTACTCGACCTTTGTGAAATGCAGACACATGATTGGCCCAAAAAAAGTGCGTTCTGCACGAGATCCCACAACACCAGATAGATACTAAAAAAATAACAAAATGTCATGTTTATGTAACATGTAAGTGGTGACCCTTTAACTCAGCAGTAGGGTGGCCAGAACACTGATGTGGTATTGGGAAGAACTTCTGGGGAATACATTTCTTTAAATCACTGTTTGACTCAGCAGAACTCCACACTGTCTGTTTATGACTCAGTGAGAACATCAGAGGGGAGCGGGCCTGTAGCGCTGCAGTAAATCTACTGGATACTCCTGCATTAATAATATGCTGCTCCACTGTTATTCTGCACGTCATAAATAGACTAAAAAAACATTAATATGTCATATTTTGAATGACCTTTTGTGGGTTGTGGGTTGTGGGCTCATTTTCAGACGCGGACCCATATGTCTTACTCCTTCAGGCTGCACACATTTATTATAGACCTATAGGATTGTAGCATTTGGCTGTGGTATTGTTAAAGCGGTATTTCAGTTATTGTGGTCCTAATTTACGAATTGAAATGGTTAAGGCCTGGTAATGGGGGTGATATGTAGCTTAAAGGATGATTATATGATCATATAACCCTAACCCTAACCCTATGTGATATATTTCACATGTATTTCACAGGGATTACACACAAAAAAGTATAAAACCAACAGGAATGTTTTATGCTTCTTTGCACTAAACACAGAGCCAAAACATCCTAAAATATACTTTCAGTGACATGCTGTGAGGCTCTATGTGTAAAAACAGTAAATCAAGGTCTGTGCAAGTCCTAACATTGTTTTTCTTTTAATGTAAGAACTCCCCTGTCACCTAATTGTTGCTAGTGTGTATTGTATCATAATATGGAGGAGTCCCATCTTTTACCTTTAAATATTATTTACAATAGTATTGTTTCTCATATTTACTGTAAATCAGTGATGTTACCACTAGCTGGTAAAATGACTTACCAGGAACCTCTTGAAAACAAAATGATGCATCTCAAGAGGCTTATCCTGTGTGTTTAAATGTAATGGATGAGAAAAATAGTGTAAATTCAATGCTGAGATGTAACTCACTCGTCCCACTGGGGGTGCAAAGGTCTTCCATCAGGCCTCATTATTTTATAGCTGATTGCCAGTCAATCCTCTGTGTTTCTCTGAAACTGGATGATCCAAGATTTCTAGCTAGAGCAAACGAAATACGGGAGTAAATGTCAAAGCAGATTCTGAGTACAGCCCCGGGGTTGTTACTTCACAGTCCGCACACATGGTGCTTTGGACAGATTCCAGTTCAAATGAAATCAGGTCAGGATTTTCTCCCTCACTAGGAAACTCACCAAGTCAGCAAAAGTATTGGTCATATCTGGGTAAACAGAGCAAAACCAGGCCTGGGAAAGACCCAGCCATCCCTGCTTGTAATGCTCCAATGTCTCTGTTAATATAGGTCCTCTACAAACCTGCTCTCATTCATACATAATACCCCTGTTTGCCAAGCTTAGTGAGAATGGCTAAATTGTAATTTGTGGCACTTTTTGGCTAGTGATTCAAGTGTTTGTGCATGTGGTTTGGCCTACATATATGGGATCCATAACAACATTGGTGTTGAGGGCGAGTGATCTTGTAAGCACACAAGACACAAGTGCGTGATCACTCCGAACAGTCTGCTGCACAATCAGAGAGCAAAGTGCTGCCGGGGGGGGAGATAAGCCTGAGCAGTCACAGAAAAGTGTATTATTTATCCTCCACGTGTGCTGTCCCGGGGATGGTCTGAGCTCAGCCCTCTGATTGGACACACCTTCCTCTCGCCTCACGCCTTCACGGTCCCATCCGGGCGGGGCGGGGCCTGCGCTGCATTCACACCCACGATTGGCCCCGGAATATTAAAATGTACTGCTTTATCTTCGCGGGTTCGAGGAGCAGGTCGCGCGTTATAAATACAGCCGCTAGTCGGGGAAATGAAAATGAGCACCGACCTCCAACAGAGCCGCGTCCGGCCACCGCTTCATGATCTTTGTGAGAAGGATGCTGCAGCAAGCTCTCAGAGTGTCCGGCCGGAGCGCCTTCCCCCTGGTCAAGTGGATGGAGAGGTGGGCTGAGGGCGCATCAGCCGGTCCGGAGGGGACAAAGGCGGTGCGGACTCTGGACGACATGCCCGGACCGTCGGTCGCCAGCTTCGCATGGGACTTGTTCGCTAAACGGGGGCTATCACGGCTGCACGACTTACAGGTACAATGATCCATTAGCCAAGACAGCAAAAGAATATTTACAATACTTGCATTTTTAATATGAATTGCATCATAGTGGACTAAATGATTAAAAACAACTGATGCACAGGAAAGGGGAAGGATGAATTCATTGATTGCATTTAGGTGGTAAGAAGATAATAAGATAAAATTAGAAGTGGTCATGAACTTTATTGTGTTTATTTTAGAAATGGCTTAAATGTACCCTCCAGACATGTCTCTTTTTTTCAAAGGAAGTTCAATTTGCTGGTTAAAAAAATCTCTAACTAGGCTTCTCCTATCTATTAATGTGCTAATATTGATCATTCACTTGATACAAGATGTCTCTTGCATACTGGACCAAATCACAGCCATATCCATCTTAAAACCAGATTTAATGTGAGTGCAGAGAAACTTCCCCCCTTGATCAGATGAATGTGAAAACAACCTTATAGTGTCAAACTCTGCAGCTGAAGTTATCAAAACACATTTTTCCCTCAAAGCAATGGGATAGAGGTCTTCTGTCTATCCAGGGATTTAAAAAAATTCTATAAGGTCTGTTAAAGATTTGGTACATTTAATTGAATTTTCAGTCATTAACATGTCTGCCAAAAGAGAAAAGGTTTGGCGGATCAAACTGTGCCTATCAAGTTATGTGTATTCTATAAAAAATGATCTACTCATTAGTGGATTAGAAAAAAAGCCTGCAGGTGTCTTCATTTCTTCAAACTAAGGGAGAGTGCATCCAAAGGTGATGCCAATCATCTCATGGCCTGCAGGGTTGTTTTTTTTACAAGGTCAATCCTCTTTCTAATTTCCCAGCTGGAAGGCGTGCAGCGGTACGGGCCCATGTGGAAGGCCAGCTTTGGTCCCATCCTGACGGTCCATGTGGCCGATCCAGCGCTCATTGAGCAGGTACTGAGGCAGGAGGGCCAGCACCCCATGCGCTCTGACCTCTCCTCCTGGAAGGACTACAGGAAGCTCAGAGGACATCACTATGGACTCTTGACGTCGTGAGTATCTCTCATTCAGACTTTTCCTCTTCTTTGTCCTCTTTATTCTCATCAGAAGCCCCAAATCACAAGACAATGCCAAACTAATTGACTTGAATGATTTGTAATTCATTCTTAAAGGTTAGAGGTTGCTTTATAATAATATTAATTTTATGATATGACATAATACAGCATTTCTCAATAATGTAATTAAGTAACTGAGAATTGAACATACACAACTTTCTGATTCAAATCTAAGATGAGAGAGATGTTCAAGACTTTAAATTATTCTTACTATGTAAAATGCCTCTTTGTTGATTCTGAAGTGGACAAAACCTTCTTAATGCAACAGCTGAACACTCTTCAAATCCTGAATTTTGTGCACAGATGCTTTACTAACATGAGTATTTGTTAATTTTTTCTCTGTGTCTGTTCCTAGTGAGGGGGAGGAGTGGCAGTCAGTGAGAAGCCTCCTGGGGAAGCACATGCTGCGGCCGAAGGCAGTCGAGGCTTACGATAAAACCCTGAACAGCGTGGTCGGTGACCTCATTGCCAAACTTCGCCTTCGCAGGCGTTCCCAAGGCCTCATCACCGACATCGCCAGCGAGTTTTATCGCTTTGGCCTCGAGGGTAAGTGGAAATATCAGACATCACACCACAACATGTAAACATTGGTAATTAGGGCCAGCCGCATGCAGGAAGCAATAACATGTGATAAGATGATGAACTACTTAACATACCTTTGAGTAGTAACCTATAACCCTGCAGCATACTATACAAACTGATCATGTGTTTTGTCTGTAAAATCCTAATCTGTAACATAAGTGAACAATAATAATAATACTTATGGCCT